CACCATTAGTCACGGTCACCCCTCCAGCCATTCCAGCTAAAAGGTCATCACTGCTCTTGGTCTGCCAGCAACATACAATCAAAATAAGTTGACAAGATGAAGCAAGATTAAATGATGTTTTCAGACTAAATGAAGTTCTTGCCTCATACTGAGTTCAAGAGTTCTACAAAGGCTTTCTAACAGTTCGCAAGCGGCTGATCGTACTGTGCAACAGAGCAGAATTTCTCAACTGGTTTCTGAACAATCACACTTCTCTCTAAAATAAAGAAATCGTATATGGGCCCTAACCGGTTTGGCTCAGTGGATAGAGCGTCGGCCTGTGGACTGAATGGTCCCAGGTTCGATTCCGGTCAAGGGCATGTACCTTGGTTGCGGGCACATCCCCGGTGGGGAATATGCAGGAGGCAGCTGATGGAGGTTTCCCTTCATCGATGTTTCTAACTCTCTATCCCGCTCCCTTCCTCTCTGTAAAAAAAAAAAATCAATAAAATATTTTTAAAAAAAGAAATCATATATGTAATCGCATATGTAAAATCGTGTATGTTATGAAAGCCCACTGTGCGCCCACAGGCGCCGCTTCATGAGGGATGAGGGAAAGTGAAGACATCCTCCTAGTCCCCTTTCATCTAGGACGTGACTTATGAACAAAGATCATTGGGCGATGCCACATGGGCATCTCACCAAAGTTCTGTAATGCACAGGAAGGACCATCCTGCAATTTCTAGAGAGAAATATCAGTGAGAATCAGAAATAATCTGCATGCTCTAAAATGATTCAACAATGAATTCAATACCTAAAAAAAGCATTCTGAAATTTTTTCCTACCTTAGCAAATGTTTAGTAGTCTAATTTAAGCCAAAACTGAAAGATTTTTTTTAGAGGCCTGGATAATATGTAAATAAAAACTAGATGTAAATAAAGACCACTTTATGGTTGAGTGAGGGTTAGTCAGTCTAAATGATCATACTACTTGAGAAAGACCATTGTAACATTCATTTATATTTTATAAAGATGAATGAAAAAGTATGAGCTTTTCAGAAAACCCCACAAGCACTCTGAAATCTGCTTTCCTTCTCCCGGAAATGAGCGAGAACACACCATTGTTCTTGTTTCCTCAATAAAGAAAACAAAAAGTTTGGGGCAACTAAGGTGAAGGCACAAGTCAGTCAACTGATTGATGTGGTTTTCTATCTGGAACCATGCTTCCCCTTAGAGCATCATAATTCATTCATTTCTACAAATTAAAACGGCTCATCAGTCAAACAATTTCTAACGTCTCCTCCAATTCTACATGTCAGTGACTCCAGATGGAACAGATTCTGTTCTCATCATTCAATTATGAAAACTATTCATAGTAGTGCCATTCGGTAGGTCAATCTGTCTTACTAAAGAGGCAGAAAAAGGATTAATGTTTTAAATGCATTAAACAGAAACTAGATTTGGTATTTAGGGTTGTCATATTATGAAAAATCTAGGCTATATAATAAGGGAGGGGGGTGGTACATTAATCATTAAGGATTGTTCATATTCTTTAAGATTAGTTCTGTTGCCCTGGCTGGTTTGGCTCAGTGGATAGAGCATCGGCCTTTGGACTGAAGGGTCTCAGGTTCGATTCCAGTCAAGGGCACATGCCTGGGTTGTGAGCTCAATCCCCAGTGTGGGGCGTGCAAGGAGGCAGCTGATCCATGATCCTCTCTCATCATCGATGTTTCTCTCTTTCCCCCTCCCCTCCTCTCTGAAATCAATAAAAATGTATTAAAAAAAAAAGACTAGTTCTGTTAATAAAACTGGTCACTGATTGGAGGGTGGACATACAATACAGTGTACAGATGACAGGTTGTAGAATTGTGCACCATGAAACCTGTACAACTTTGTTAATCTGTGTCACCCAAATCACACTGTTAACTCATCTTACACTAAAAAGATGTGATCACCAATAATCATCAAGAGTCATCAGTTATTTAGCTAGATTCTAACGGAAGTAACTGCAGCTTATTAATTCCCAAACATCAACTTTTAGAAACAAGTATTCCCATCAGTACAGTGAGTGGGATCTTACTTCTCCATGAAGTAATATAACATGCGCACCGAGCACTGTGTGGAACCTGAGAAGTGTAGGCATGTAAGACACCATCTCTACATGGAAAACCATCTTTTCTACTGGCTGTGACAAGGAATGAGGGATCCCACACCCCAGGACAGATGCCACAGCTGCTGGACAAATTCCCCAAAACTCACTGGAAATAGCAGCAGTGCTTCATTTTATTGTTTGCAAAAGCTGCCATCAGCAGTGAGACGCTCTGGATCAAAGAGTCCTTTCCTGCACCACTCAGGTCTAGCCCAAACGATATTCGAAAAATAGGTGTTAATTCTGACTCACTCACACCGGACAGACACAATTATGTGGGTGTCCACATGAGAGAATGAGTAGGTATGCGTGTTTAAACACTTACAAGCCAAATGCTTCATTCATTTGGTTAATCACCAATGCTCCATCAGTTACAGGAGTTCAAGTTGTGGGGAGGCAGCTACATGCTAGGGAACCACGTGAAATCTGAAAACTTAGAAACATAAGATAACACTGAAGTTTGTGGGTCTCCAAGTCTTTAGTTTTTTGTTGTTTTTTTAACTTTTCTGTTCATTGTCAGTTTTCTTCTTTACTTCAATTTCTACTCAAGACTTTTTCCTCCTCTCCGAAGTAAAAGCAATTGCTCCAGTCTAGGTGAGGCGCCCCAAATAGCTTCATCTCCTCTGTGACCCTCCCCTCTGCTCACACACAGAACGAACTCACACAAACCAGCCCCCACAGCAGGGCCACAGACCGGGACAGCAGGCAGGTGCTGGCACACCGCAGGCACAAGGCTCTGCGTTACAATGAAAAGCACTCACTGTTCAAGACCGAGCTACTTGCAACTCGGGTCCCAGCCTCAGCTCTGCCCCACCTGCCCGGCGCACACTCCCCTGCGAACCCCAGAGACGCCGCTGCCACTGATATGGAGGCAGCGAAGGCAGCGGGCAAACCCAAAGCCGGGGTTTCAACCTGTTCTTCCAGTCACGTAAGTCACAGGTCACAGGGGCGCTCCCCGCCGAAGGCAGCCCCACAGACCGAGTAACCAGTTAGGCCAGGAAACGCCAGCATCTCCCACGAAGGAAAGCATTCATCCCTGGTGCTGGTTCAGACTAACGGACGCAGGGCGGGGAGAGGCCACGGGGACCCGGCAGCTCCCCGGGCGGCAGCAAGGAGAGGGCCTAGGGCATGGCCTAGCCCCGGGAGTAGGGCTGGGCTCGGTGTCCAGCCTGGTGGAGACGACCAGCATCCCTGCTGGCTCCTTCCACAAGGAAGCCCCTCGCCAGCTGTTCCCGGGGGTGCTTCTAGTAATAACCGGAGCCGGCTGGGACAACAGGCTTCCAGGGCCGTGTTCCAGGCGGGGCGGGGCTCCTCCGTTAGGCTGGGGAGACTCCCCAGGTTTCCCCCACCGAGTCCAAGCCCAGAACCCACATCCCTCCGACAAACAGGCGAAGAACGGAGAGTGACGTCCGGGCAGGGAGAGGCTGAAGACGCGACGTGGGCTCTGCGACGGCACAGATGTGCCTGGAGCCACCCTGGCCCTGGGACCGTCAAACCAACAGACACTGAGCAGACTGTCTAGAGCAGCGGTTCTCAACCTGTGGGTCGCGACCCCTTTGGCGGTCGAACGACCCTTTCACATGGATCGCCTAAGACCATCCTGCATATCAGATATTTACATGACGATTCATAACAGTAGCAGCATGACAGTTATGAAGTAGCAACGAAAATAATGTTATGCTTGGGTCACAACATGAGGCACTGTATTTAAAGGGCCAGAATATTGAGAACCACTGGTCTAGAGCAAACCGCTCATTGCCGCTTTCACTGAGCACGTGCCGTGTGCCAGAGCCCGCCCTCAGCATCCTCATCGGTTCCCCTCACTCCCCGACCACGGCTCTGAGCCACCTGTCCGCTCCCGAAACCCGTGATCGAAGGCAGCGCTTTCAACCTTTCACCTCACGGCACACACAGAAACTAGTTACTAAAATCCTGCGGCACATCAAGTAACATATTTTTTGGTCTGACAAGAAAATAGGTATTAATTAAAATTAGCTGGCTATTGCTATGTTGGCTGTTGTCATTTTCATTTTTTGATTTGACCACCTAAGGGAAAAGAGGTCAGTGCCCGGCGGAACAGTCCGGTGTTCATGTTTTAAAAGTCCCTGCGGCACGCTGGTGAGGGTCGCTGATCTAATGAATCACTGTCCTAAATGATAACAGGAACCAAGCCAGCTCATACAGGAGTGTAAGGAAAATCACTCTCACCCAATTCTAACTGG